TGCAAGGGGGTGGAAGCTCAGGGCCAGGGCCCCAGCGCGCAGCCCTCGGCGGGGGAGGGAGCTGTCTGCAGGACCCTGGCATCCGGTCCCCCAGCCTCCGCCCTCCCCTGGGACCCCGCGGCCTCCCGCCCACAGCTTTTCCCAGCCCTGCCCCTCGCCCTCCGCTCCAGCCAGAGCGTAGACGTTCCCAGGATCCCTGAGCCTGGGGCCGGGGCCGCAGGACTGTGGCTTCTGCGACTCTTGCTCTCCTCGCACTTCTTTGTCTCAACCTTTCCATCTTCTTTTCCACGCTCTTTACTTTTTCCCCTCTCCGTCACTTTGTCTGTGGTCCTCCGGCCCGTTAGTGGCTCCCGGAGGTCCCTCTCTGGATTTAGGCCGGTCCTCTAATTCCCAGTGCCCCCCCGTCTGTGAGTTTGGGCGGCAAGAAGACCTGTGGGTCCTCTACCCAAGGAGGCAACTTTCTGCAGGTGGCTGCTGTGTCACTCAGCCATGCCTGAAGGGGCCCGGGGACTCAGCTTGTCCAGACCCAGCCTCGGGTGTGGCCACAGAGGCGAAGCCTGCGACTGCCCAGCGGTGTGTGAGACTCGGACAGGTGAGCAGCCGAGGCAGGGGTGGAGCCTATGGGCGTTTGATCTTTCCTTCCTGCAAGCCCCCTGGGGTTGTGCAGGGTGACAGCCGCGCCCCGCCCCACCCACACAGAGCCCCAAGCTGGTGTTCCTAGTGACAGTTCAGAGGGGCGGGGCGGGGTGCAGTGCTCAGGGCTGTGAGAGGAAGTACCCCTTGACGGGTCAGGCTTCAAGGAGTTAGGCAAAGACCAGAGAGTTCCACAGCCGCGTGACAGTGTGTGCAAGGCCCAGAGCCGCTGCTTTAAATAATTGAGAGTGAGTAAATGTGAGTTGGGGGGGAGGTAAGATGAGATGGCAGGAAGACTGCAGGCTGGAGAGACAGGCCAGGGTCACACTGCACTGATTTGAGGAGTTTTGGGTGTTATCCTGAAGGGGTTGTACTCCTGGGGATGACAGGGTCAGATGGGAGGGTTAATAAAGATCTCCCTGCTGATGTATGGAGGTGAATTAGAGGTCTGAAGCCCGGGGAGAACCCAGATAGGACAGGACAGGACTGGACCAAGGCAGTACAGTAAGAAAGAGAGGAGGGAGCCTGTGGGAAAGTGGTTAGCCAGCTGTGGGAGTGTGGAGGCCATGGGAAGTGGAACTTGACTTCCTATTCCACATCCCACAGCCCCTGCCATGGCCTCCCCGCGAGGTTCTGGGAGCTCCACCTCCCTGAGCACAGTGGGCTCTGAAGGGGACCCAGCCCCAGGGCCCACCCCAGTCTGCTCAGCCTCCAGGCCAGAGCCCCTGCCGGGGCCCCCTATCCGCCTGCATCTGTCACCTGTGGGGATCCCGGGTTCAGCAAAACCCTCAAGGCTGGAGCGTGTGGCCCGAGAGATCGTGGAGACTGAGCGGGCCTACGTCCGGGACCTCCGCAGCATCGTGGAGGTGAGGCAGGCAGGCGACCCGGGGCGGTGCCCGTGGGCCAGGCCCTTGGCCCTGGTGACCTAGTCATCCCTGCAGGACTACCTAGGCCCTCTGCTGGACGGCAGCGGCCTGGGGCTGAGCATGGAGCAGGTGGGCACGCTGTTTGCCAACATCGAGGATATCTACGAGTTCAGCAGGTGAGGAGCGAGTGGGACAGGAAGGGGTGCTGGCCCCTCGGGGCTCGGGGCTGTGTCCCAACCTGAACCTTGGAGCCCCACTTGGCATAGTGGTGCACACCTGTAATCCCAGCACTGTGGGAGCTGAGGAAGGAGGATCACAAGTTGAGCCCAACGTGGGCGACCTAACAAGACCCCATCTCAAAATAAAAAATTTAAAAAGGGTTGAGGACGTAGCTCAGTGTGAAGACTCTGGGCTCAATCCCAGTAGCACCAAAAAAAAAAGAACCCTTGAAACCCTTTATCTCCCTCTTCGGGCTAGTCTGAGGGGCGTGGTGACCTCAGACAGGGATCACAGCACAGTGAGGGCTCAGAGTAGGGTCACAGAAGTCTAGGCATGCAGATGAGGTCCGCCATTCGGGACGGGGCCTGGCATGAGGGTGGAGTTTCAGTGCCACGTCCGGTCTGGGCTCATGGTGAACCTGAGAGTCATATGGTGTCCACAGATCACGACCACATGAGCCTTCAGATGACCACCTTGTCCTGGGAATGCCCAAGACATTCCCAACTTTCGCACTCCACAGCGCTCATCCAGGGACACTGTTTGGTCTCAGACAAAGCAGGATGGTTGGTCGCTGTCATGTGAGGGCTGTCAGGGCTTGTGATGCTCGAATCCCTTGAGGAGATTGCAGAATCTTAAGCTCATCCCTGGGACCACGGTGGCCTTTGTGGGCAGCACATGTCCCCTCACCCCAGCTCACACCAGCTGTGACAAACTTTCAGGCTGAGGGTCATGAAGCTGTCCGAGGACACAGTCGGAGGAGGCTTTGGTCTCCCATGTGGCCTCAGAGACCTTTTCTCGGCATGCAGTGTCCTTTTAGGGAGTCTAGCAGTCACTGAGTACCCAGCCCTGCAGGCGGTTGGGACGTCTCCCGGGGCCTCCCCTGGGGGATGTGGAGGCAGGGCAGGTGCTCACCCTCTGTCCCCTACAGTGAGCTCTTAGAGGACCTGGAGAGCAGCAGCAGTGCGGGGGGAATCGCCGAGTGCTTTGTGCAGAGGGTGAGCAAGCAGGCGGGCTGGGCCGGGAGGGGCCTCAGCGGGGGTCAGCAGCCTGTGCAAGGCTGGAGTGGGTAGGGGAGCCAGGACCTGGGTCTCCCTGACTGCCATGTCCCCCGCAGAGCGAGGATTTTGACATCTACACTTTATACTGCATGAACTATCCCAGGTGAGGGGCAGGGTGCCCCTGGGCCCCAGGCCGAGCCCTGAGCTGGTGTCCCAGCCCTCCCTCCTCTGCCCTGCCAACCCCCCAGTGTTATCCCTGCCGGACCAGGGTGCTAACTGACCTCTCCCTCACTCCCCCCTGACCCCTGCCAGACCCTGACTGCCCCCAAACCCTGGCCACTCGCGGACCCCTCCCAGCCCTACCCGCTGGAGCTGCCAGCCCCTGCTGACCCGTGCTGTGCCCCCAGCTCCCTGGCCCTGCTCCGGGAGCTGTCGCTGTCCCCGCCAGCAGCCCTGTGGCTGCAGGAGCGCCAGACCCAGCTTCATCACTCACTGCCCCTGCAGAGCTTCCTGCTGAAACCGGTTCAGCGCATCCTCAAGTACCATCTGCTGCTGCAGGTCGGCTTTGGGTCCTGGGGGCCCTGCTGGAGGTGGGGGGGGGTCTCACACCTCAGCCACGGGCTGTTTCTTCAAGAGGGGGCGTAAGAGTCCTGCAAGGCCTGAGACTTTTTTTCTACCTTTCTCTGCTCAGCTGTGCAGAGGGGGGCCATCTGGGCCCTAGAAACGGGCCAGTGGTGGTGTCGGGTCTTCCTGGCAAGAGAGGACTGGCACCTGGGATCCCATAGTCTCCTGTGCCACTCATTCTCCCCCTCCCGCCCTTTTCCTCCTCTCCCTACATGCCTGGTGCTGCCGGCAGGAACTAGGCAAGCACTGGGCAGAAGGCCCGGGTGCTGGAGGCCGTGAGATGGTGGAGGAAGCCATTGTGTCTATGACAGCAGTCGCCTGGTACATCAATGACATGAAGCGCAAGCAGGAGCACGCGGCACGCCTCCAGGTGGCCCAGGGTGGGGTGGGAGGCGAGGCCGGCCTCGGGGGGGCCATGAGGAGGATGGGGCAGTGCTTCAAGCCTTGGGGGGTTGGCTCAGTCAGCGAGTCCCCTTTTCCAACCCCCTACCTTGTCCTGTTCGTGTGTGCCACCCGCCCATACCTGCCTCTGTGCCTGGCGGGGCCCCTGCAGGAGGTACAGCGGCGGCTAGGAGGTTGGACCGGCCCAGAGCTCAGTGCTTTTGGGGAGCTGGTGCTGGAAGGTGCTTTCCGAGGTGGCGGAGGGGGCGGCCCCCGGCTTCGAGGCGGGGAACGGCTGCTCTTCCTGTTCTCTCGGATGCTGCTTGTGGCCAAGCGCCGGGGGCCCGAATACACATACAAGGGCCACATCTTTGTGAGTTGGGGATGGCTCGGGCTGCGCTGTCACAATGCACTGTGCATTTTGTATTCCTACGCTTATGTGCCTAAAGGGGTGAACCAGGGACAGCCTGGCTTGAGAGAATCACATTTTCTTGAGTTCAAGAATAGAGTAAGGCTGGGCATGGTGGCGCACACCTGTAATCCCAACCCTCGAGAGGCTGAGACAGGAAGATTGCTGTGAGTTCAAGGCCAGTCTGGACTTCAGAGTGAGACTGTGTTTAAAAAAATCAAAGAAGCCGGGCATAGTGGCACATGCCTGTAATCCCAGCACTCAGAAGGCTGAGGCAGGAGGATCTTGGCAAGTTCGAGACCAGCCTGGGCTACAAAGTGAGCACAAGGCCAGCCTGAACTGCATAGTGAGACCCTGTCTCAAAAAGACAAAAAACAAAAAAAAACAAATTTAAAATCAAAGAAGGAAATAAAAAAAAGAGAATAGGGGTGAGACCAGGTGTGAGACTGCAGGAGTGGTGATCCTGGCAGCCTCAGGGGCTGAAGTGGGAGGACCAGGAATTGTGTCTGGTCTGGGGAATTTAGTGAGATACTGTTTCAAAAGCAAGGAGCCAGGACATTGGGGATGTAGATCAGTGGTAGCATGCTCACCTGGCAACCATGAGGCTTTGGGCTCAGTCCATAGCATTACAGAGAAAAAGAGACAGAGAAAAGAAAGTAAGGGACCCCGGGCATGGTGGCTCACGCCTGTAATCCCAGCACTCAGGAGGCTGAGGCAGGAGGATCGTTGTAAGATCAAGACCAACCTGGGCTCCAAAGTGAGCTCAAGGCCAGCCTGAACTGCATAGTGAGACCCTGTCTCAAAAACAAAAACAAAACAAAACAAAAAAAAAATAGAATGGAAGAAAGTAAGGGGTCAGGTGGGGTGGAGGCCCACAGGAAAGGACTGGACGTGCCCATAGGCAGTGTCTTCCTGGGGAGCAGCGGTCCTGCTTCGTGATGGTGATAGGGGAGGGTCTGGCGAGGGAGAGAGCAGAGCCCAGCGGGTGGGGAGCAGTCAAACTCACAGGGTGCGTGTTTGGGTAGGGGCCCAACTCTGCCTCATGGCTGAGCTCTGACCTTGCTGTGCCCGCCCCCCCCCAGTGCTGCAACCTGAGTGTGAGCGAGAGCCCTCGAGACCCTCTAGGGTTCAAGGTGTCCGACCTGACCATTCCCAAGCACAGGCACCTGCTTCAGGTGAGCACCGGTGGGGCTGGCCAGGCAGTCGCCCCCACCCTGGACCTGCTCTTGGCTCCCTGGCTCCACCTACCCCACTCGCCCCCAGGCCAAGAACCAAGAAGAAAAAAGGCTGTGGATTCACTGTCTCCAGCGCCTCTTCTTCGAGAACCACCCCGCCTCCATCCCAGCTAAGGTAGGGCTCCTACCACAGCAGGGGGCCCTTGGAGTACCACACACACACACACACACACACACCCCCGCCGTAGTGTTAAAAGGCCTGATGAGGGCACACACACGTTTCTGTAACATGACTGCTAAAAGTGCAGAATTATGCTACCTGAATCTGAACCCTACCTCCACCACTCTTTCTGCATTGTGACCCTGGGCAAGTGACTTAACCTTTCTGGGCCTGATGTGAGGAAGCACCTATTCGTGGGAATGGCCATGGTGCTTGGGGCCAGCACTGGCTAACGTGCATCCTCGTCTGTTTCAGGCAAAACAAGTCCTCCTTGAAAACAGCCTGCACTGTGAGTTGGGACTTGGGTTGGGAGGATGCTCAGAAAAATTACTTCGAGGGAAAAAGTAGGCTGTTAGCCCCAAAACTCTCCCCACAGGTGCTCCGAAAAGTAAGCCTATCTCAGAGCCCCCAACACCCCCGCTCGGGTCTCCCCTACCTCAAGATACTAAAACTTTCACCCCTGGCCGGAGAAACACAGGTACATGAGACAGGGTGCTGAGTGTGGCCCCCTTCCCCCGCGGTGCCTGGAGCTGGACTCCTGACCACCTGTCCCCTGCCTCTCCCACAGCGCCATCTCCGGGACCCCTGAGCAGCCGCCGTGGCCGCAGGCAGTCTGGTGAGTTTACCGCCCAAGGTGAGCCAGGGGCTCGGGCAGGTATGGGCTGCTGACGTAACTCTGTCCTCCCCAGAGCCGGTGAAGGACTCTTTTGTCGAGTTTCCACAGAATGGTCAGTGACTGGCTCCTGTCTGTTTGTCTGTCCTTCCCCGGGGGGTACCCAGGGTGGATGGGGAGGAGGGGAGGAGGCAGCTCATAAGTTACAAGGAATCACACACAATCCTATATCTCACTGACTTTTCTCTTCTTGTCCATCCCCAGCTAAGCCTATATTCAAGGTAAGAAATGGCCCAAGTAGGATCTGAGAACCTGGACTCTTGGGTCTGACGGAGAAACTTAAATTCCAGAATCCTGGGTCTGAGTAAGAAACAGGATTGGGCCGGTCGTGGTGGCCCACACCTGTACTTGGGTGGCTGAGGCAGAAGCATTGCCCTGAGTTCGAGGCCAGCCTCGGCTACATAGTGAGTTCAAGGCCAGCCTGAAATGCACAGGAGACCCTGTCTCAAGAAAGAAGGAAGGGAAGGGGAGGGAAAGAAAGAAAGAAAAGAGAGAGGGAGCGAGCAAGGGAGGGAGAGAGGGAGAAAAAGAATGAATTGGGCTGAGTGCAGTGGCACCTGCCTGTAATCCCAGCTGTTTAGGAGGCTGAGGCAGGAAGAGCTCAGTTTTAAGCCCCAACTGAGTGACTTAGTGAGACCCTGTTTGAGAATGAAAAGCTGCTGGGGATATAGCTCAGTGTGAAGGCCCTGGATTCCACCTGAAGTACTAAAAAAAAACCCAGCTAGATAGAGATGTAACTTAGTGGGGTAGAGCACTTGCTTAGCGTGTGTGAGACCAAGTTTAATCCCCAGTACTGAAAAAAAAAGTTGGGGGGTTGAGGCTCAGATTCCTCATCTGGTAAGGAAAGGGACGGGGCCCTCTTGCTTCTTGCCTTCATCCCCGCTCCTCCGCACAGCATGCTGGCAGTGAAGGGGAGCTCTATGCCCCCTCAGAATCACAGCCACCAGTGTCAGTTCCTGCATCCGCTGAAGACCTGGAGGATGCTGGGCCCCCCACACTGGACCCCTCTGGAACCTCCATCACTGAAGAAATCCTGGAACTGCTGAATCAGAGAGGCCTTCGGGATCTGGGGGTGAGCTGGGCATTCTTGGGGCTCCAGGCTCCAGCAGGCAGAGCCAGGAACAGGGTGGTCAGTCCACCCTGGTATCTTCGGCTTCTTTCTGTGCCCACTACAGCCAGCCACCAATGACATTCCCAAGTTCCCTGGAGATTCCCAGGTGCCAGCCGACAGCGAAACCCTCACATTCCAAGCCCTGCCCAGCCGAGACTCTTCAGAAGAGGAGGAGGAGGAAGAGCTGGAGCCGGATGAACGGGAGCCTTCCCCACTCCACGTCTTAGAGGGGCTTGAGAGTTCCAGTGCAGTTGAAATTCCCGACATTCCCAGCCTTGCCAAGATTCCTGACGTACCCGACCTCCCTGAAATTCCCGAAGTTCCCCACCATCCCAGTCTCTCTGACATTCCCAGTGTTTTTGAAATGCCCCGCCTTCCAGCCATGCCTGACGTCCCCGATATTCCCAGTCTTTCTGATTCTCCTGCCCTGCCCGGTGACTCCTGGTTCCCCGGGCCTCTGCAGGAGCCGGCTGAGGCACTGACCACCAGGAGAGAACTGTTCCCAGGAAGCAGTCCTGGAAAACCGGGAGAGCCTACTTCAGGAAGCAGGGTCGGGCAGGCTGAGGAGGAAGAAGGGGTAGTGTTCCCAGATTTCCAGCCTCAGGCTATTGCCCAAACTCAGGGATTCCCAGGTGAGCTGGAATTCCGCTCTTGCTCCGAAATCCGGAGTGCCTGGCAGGCATTGGATCAGGGGCAGCTGGCCCGGGCCCGGCCAGGCTTCCCAGAGCCACTGCTGATCCTGGAGGACTCGGATCTGGGTGGAAGCAGTGGGAGTGGGAAGGCAGGAGCCCGGCATTCGGAGCGGGCAGCATCCCGTGTGCGAGAACTGGCCCGGCTCTACAGTGAGCGGATCCAGCAGATGCAGCGGGCCGAGACGTGGGCATCGGCCAATGCCCCCCGCCGCAGGCCACGGGTCCTGGCCCAGCCCCAGACAACCCCCTGCCCGCCCCAGGAACAGGCCGAGCCTGGTGAGCTCTGGGTATGTGGTTGGCAGAGGTGGCCCGGGCTGGGGCATTGGTGCTCACTGGGTCCTTTTGTCTGCACACAGGGCCCTTTCCCGCCTTTGGACACGTGTTGGTATGTGAGTTGGCCTTCCCGCTGACCTGTGCCCAGCAGTCTGTCCGCCTGGGCCCTGCTGCCCGTATTCAAGCTGCCACACCCTTGACTAAACAGAGAGGCCACCTGGGTGGCCAGAGTCTAAATGCTTCAGATTTGCCTGAGCAAGACCAACTGGACATCCACATTCCGGCTCCTCCAGCCTTGCCTGAGCAAGGAGCGCTCCACGGTGTCCCGACCCCAGCCACGTCACCCAGGCAAGGAGGCCCTGCAGACACCCAGCTTCCATCGGTTTCAACTTTGCCTGATCAAAGCCACCTGGAGATCGGAGTTCCAGCTGCCACTCCTGTGCCTGAGCCTAGAAGTGACGTGGATATACAGGTTTCATCCACGAGCTGCTCTTCTGGTCAAGGGTGCCATGTGGACATCCAAATTCCAACCACTCCAGCCGTGTCCAAGCAGGGAAGTTGTCCTGAGATCATAGTTTTAGCCACCACTCCTTTCGCCAAGGAAGAAGGCCACCTAGATAGCCAGAACCCAACCAACATCCCAGGGGCTGGAGAGGGAGGTCCCAGGGGTGATCAGTGCCCCGCCACTGTCTGCGGCCAAGCCATCAGCCCTTTGTTGAGGCCTGGAAGTAGCCTGGACCATCACCTCCCACCCAGCAACCCTCTGCCCTTGTCACATGACCTCCCGGATATTCCTGTTCCGGGTGCCTTGCCCCTGCCTGAACACGGAGGGAACCTGGACAGTCAAATTGCAGCGAGCTCACCTCTGTCTTTATCTGAGAACCTCCTGGACGTTCAGGTTCCAGCTGCCACCCCTTTGCCTCAGCCCCAAGGCCTCACGGACATTCAAGCCCAAGCCCTGCCTTCTTTGCCCAAGCAGGGCGACCCCCCAGCCATCCAGGGCCCCACTGCCACAGCATCGCCTCAGGAGCATGGCCTTGGAGACACACAGGCCGCCAAACTCACACCTGTGTTCAGGCAGCAAGAACTCCCCAACATGTGCATTCCAGCCACCACTTTACCTGAGCAAGACAGGTCCCAGGACATTCAAAGCCTGGTGCCCACCCCAGTCCAGACCACTGGGGCTTTATCCAAAGCAGGAGGCTCCTCAGGCTCTCTTGTTGCCAGGTCAGAGTCTACAGACTTGACCCCACCCCACAGCCCCCCGCCCCCTACCCGTCAGCTCCTGGGCCCCAGTGCGGCTGCCCTCTCAAGATACCTGGCAGCCTCATACATCAGCCAGAGCCTGGCTCGCAGACAGGGGCCTGGGGGAGAGGGCCCCCCAGCCTCCCGGGGCCCCTGGTCCTCTGCACCCACATCTCGAGCACCTTCACCCCCGCCCCAGCCCCAGCCCCCACCGCCCCCGGCCAGGCGGCTCAGCTACGCCACCACGGTCAGCATTCAAGTGGGAGGGGGGGGGCGGCTTCGGCCAGCCAAGGCTCAGGTCAGGTTGAACCACCCTGCTCTCTTAGCCCCCCACCCAGGAGCCTATGGGCCTTCACAGAGCCCAGGGAGCTCCTGATGCCCTTTCCCACATGTGATGCAAGATGTCAGGCTTCCCAAAAAGCAGTGACTTCAGCCAGTGCCACACACTCCCAGAATTTCACCCAGAAATCCTGACATGGGTCTAGAAGTGGGTGCAGCTTTGTAGCCCCTTGGACCTGTTTTCACACATGGCCCTTTTTGCTTTGATCAACAGGGATGAGGAAGGGATGTCATTAATATTTCGTTAACATGGAACTGTGTGTTTTCCCCTTCTGAATGTGTATGGGGGGTTTGACAAGATGTGATGACTGGGAAGAGCTGACAGAGTATGATCACTGGTTCTGAGAATTTGGGGGATCTCAAAAGTCTGAGGATTACTAGAAATGGGTGAGGATGTAGCTCGGCAGCACAGCGCCTGCCTGAGAATTACGAGAAATGGACCTGGTAATGTCAAGGTGTGTGACTTCAAGGCATTCACAAACTGTTCATTGGGAAATCCAGGTTAAGTCCCTCCCAGCTGGGGATACAGCTCATTGGAAGGTCAGTTGCCAATAAGTGCAAGGTTCTGGGTTCATACCCAACACTGAAAAAAAGGCCCTACAATCCCAGCACACAGGAGGCTGAGGGAGGAGGGTCAAGTGAGTTCAAGGCCAGCCTGAACTACATAGCAAGGCCCTATCTCAAAATGAAAAGCAGGGGGCTTACTCCAGGTAGATCCCCGAAGTTCTTTTTTTTTTTTTTTTTTTTGTCTTTTTGAGATGGTCTCACTATGTAGTTCAGGCTAGCCTTGAGCTCACTTTGTAGCCCGGGCTGGTCTTGAACATGCGACGATCCTCCTGCCTCAGCCTCCTGAGTACTGGGATTATAGGCGTGTGCCACTACACCCGGCTGAAGTTCATTTTCTTAGCAACTTAATGAGCATCCAGCTCTTGTCCCATGATTTTTTTCTTTTTTGTCTTTTTGAGACAGGGTCTGCTATGCAGTTCAAGCTGGTCTTTAACTCACTTTGTAGCCAAGGCTGGCCTCAAACTTGCAACCATCCTCCTGCCTCAGCCTCCCAAGTGCCGGGGTTACAGGTGTGCGCCACCATGCATAGCTCTCGTCCCACAATTATCCATTCATCTCACATGCCTGGCTGTTCTTCTGTCTTCCCCTCAGATGATTAACTTTTCGTCTTCCAAACTACTGTGTTACCTATATGTGCTGCTTATCCAACTCTCTACCCCTTTATTCTTCCACCCTTCCCCCATGTAACTTTCCATCCCTCCGGCAGCCCATCCATCCATCATTCTACCTGTCCATCTCCATCCTGCACCATCCTGCCCTCCCTCCACGTTTCATCTCTCATCCACCTCATTCACCCGTTTCCAAGTCCATTAGCCCATCTGTCCCTCGTCTGGGTTCTGGATCTTGATACTACAGAGCTTCAGAGACTGTTCCGTGCTGACACCAGGGCGGCTCCATCTTGGGGCTCTAGTTTCCCTTGGCAGTCCCCCCCACCCATGAATATCTTGTGCCCACCCACACACATCACATCCTTCACCGCCCCCCCTTGGGGACTGCAACAATTCCTCAACATACTCCCACAGAATAACTCAGGTCAGAGAGAGACAAAAGGCTTTTATGGTGGGGCTCTCCTGCCCCCTCCTTCCTGAAATGGTGGGCTCAGTGAGCATAATTTAAGCAGTTTAATGATAATAGCTGCTTCTATCAAATATTTAACATCTTGTGCTTTAGCACGCTAATCTTCCCTACAATTCTCCAAGGCCTCACTGTGTCATGGTGGTGAATTCAAGTCCCATCTTTTCTCCTTGGTGTGTGACCTTCCTCTCAGCCTGTTTGCTTGTGTACAAAATGACAATGCCTGTTTCCTGGCACTGACCCCAGCATCCAGTGAGCGTACCCTCTCACTCCCCAGATGTGCCTGAAGCCTCTGGCTCAGCGGGGAATCCATTCAAATCACCCACACACACATCTATACTAAGGGCCCGTTGAATCAGAACCTTCAGAGCAGAGCCTGGGAATCTGAATGTTAGCGGCTGGGTACTGGCACAGAGCTGGCTGAGAACTGACTAGCTGCGTACCATCAGCATTCCAGTCGGGTTTCTGTGAGCTTATTTGATTTAGGTCTTCACAATATCCCTAAAAGGCAAGTGAGGGTATGTTTTTGTTGTGTTGTTTTGTTTTTTGGTTGGTGCTGGGAATCAAACCCACAGCCTCATGCATGCTAGACAAGCGCTTTCACTGAGCTGCGCCCCCAGCTCCCATGAGGACAGCTTTTTTAGTAGCTCTAGGCATGAGGAAAGGCAGGGTCGGAGGAAGGGACCTGCCCGGTCCCACAACTGGGAGGGTGGAGAGGGCCAAAGCCTTGTGACCTCACTCAGGTCTGTGCTCTTAGATTTGTTGAGTGTGTACCCCATGCCAAAGTACCATTCTCACTGCCAGGGGCTCACGGGGAGCATCTGTGGCCCTGTGAGGTGAGCTTGTAGCCTGCTGCTCCCCGGGGACACGGGACTCTGGCAGTGTTAGGCAGCCAGCACAGGGCTGGCTCAATAAATGTTGGCTGGAGGCTTCTACTTCTTGTTTATTGAGTGACTGCTGAGCACCAGGGCCTGGGCCGAGTCCTGGGGGCCACAGTAGCTGAGGTGGCCTCCTCAGCCTACAGTGATCAAAGACTTCACTGCGGCCTTCCAGGGTCAGGACCGAGGCCGGCCCTCCCCTCCTCCATCCTGGCTGCACATTCCCAGCCGCCCCCAGCTGTACATTCCCAGCTGAAGAAAAGTTCCCAGCCTGGCTTGGGCTCCCAGCAGCGCCGGAATTCCCGGTATTCGAGGAGGCAGGGAGGGAGAAGGGGCTGTCTACTCCAAACCAGGAGTGGCTAAGGAGAGGCGGGCCCCCTCTCCAGATGTGTCCCAGCTGTGCTTCTAGGAAGGAGCTGGGAGCCTCAAAAGAGGTCTCTGAACCCTGCAGGAAAACCATAGGCCCCACCCTGTCCCTCCTCTGGGTGTCTGTGAATTCCATCCCTCCCTCCAGCCCAACTCCTACCTCTGTCCATGGCCCTAGTTCCCACTTCCTCAGGGATGCCCTTCTTGCTGGCCAAACATTATCTACCTGCTGGGGTGGCTTTTTCAGAGCTATACCTAAGACAAAGGGTGAAGCTCGTTGAAGTGTTGTATGCCTGTACTCCTAGAACTTGGGAGGCTGAGGGGCACTTGAGCCCAGGAATTAGAGGTGAGCCCAGCAACCTAAGCAACATAGTAAGATCTCATCTTAGACTATAGGGTTTTTTTGGTTTTGGTTTTTTTCCAGTACTGGGAATCAAACTCACGACCTTGGGCTTGCCAGGCAGACACTGCGCCGCTGAGCTAAATCCCCAGCCCAAGATCTCATCTTAAAGCAAAGGGTGGTGCCCACTGCCCTCCTTATCTCGGTAATACAAATGAACCCCAACTCCAATACAAAATCCATTGAGCTAGTGAACACTTTTTTGCCACCAGGATAGTTTACTCATCCAGTAACAAGAGGTCTCCTGTGTCACCAACCTCAGGGCCATCATGAAGACCCATCCTGGGAGGCTTAGGCTGGCACCTGACTGCTGCTCAGTCTGGGTACTTGGTCAGTGGCATCTCATCCAACCTTCCTCGACAGTGACATCGTTCTGGGCAGCCCCGCTTGGCGGTATGGCTCCTGTCTTAGGAAGGCCACATATGTACAAACAGGGCCATGGACAGTGAACCTGTGAAACTTCCCCCTCAACTGGCAGCAGGTCCTCCAGCTGTCTGCAGAGGCCGTCTGGAAGATTTCCACCGTCTCAACAGCAAAGTTCAGACTTCCTGTGGCTCCCTGGCTGTGGAATCACTTCCACCCCAGCTCCTCCTCCTCCTCCAACACCACCATTTTGAGACTGCTTGGAAGACGGGAAGTTGGTACAGTCACTGCAATGTTCCCCCATCAGCGCGTGGCACAGCAGACGTGTTCAAGGGGCGTGGGTGAGCAGAGAGAACCATCAGGAAACGTAGTCGGGTGTGGTGGTACACAGTTGTAATCTCAGCCCTGGGGCAGGATCACAAGTTTGAGCCCAGCTTGGGTGACAGTCACCTAGTAGGACCCTATCTTTTTTTTTTTTTTTGTCTTTTTTGAGACAGGGTCTTGCTATGCAGTTCAGGCTGGCTTTAAGCTCACTTTGTAGCCCAGGCTGGTCTCAAACTCACAACGATCCTCCTGCCTCAGCCTCCCGAGTGCTGGGATTACAAGCATGAGCCACCACATCCGGCTGAGGACCCTATTTTAAACAGGGACGTAGGTGAGTATAAAAGCCCTGGGCTCAATCCCTAGCACAAGGACAAAAAAAGAAAAGGAAAGAATGAAGTTAATGGTCAGACTGTTCTAACTGATCTGGCTCAGATGTCAACACCCCCAGAACTCACACCATAGGGCTGAGCCAGGTACCTTTTGCTGGACAAAAGTGGAGTACTCTGAGCAGATGGCCCCCAAACTGAGGGCTGTAGGGCAGGGACAGGCACTACTGGACAGTCTGTGGCTGCCTAACATGGTATCAAGAACCTCAGCTGATTGCCCAGCTCAATGTCATTTCCACTTTTGTCTTCCTCTACAGCAGGAAGAAAAACTGAAGGGCACAGCAACACACCGCCACACATTCCCCACGTGCTGGGTAACTCAGCAAGACCTTGTCTCAAAAACAGAAAGTAAACTAAACATGGTAGTGTCTGCTTGTAATCCCAGCATTAGGGAGGTTGAGACCAGAGGATCACCCAAAGTTCAAGGTCAGGCTGAATTGAACATGACCCTGCCTCAAAAATCCAAAAATTAAATATAAATAAATAAAACAAAAAGGAAGACTGAGGGTGTGGCTCGGTGTAAAGGCTCTAAATTAAATCCTTCGTACCACAAAATACAAAACTTTTTGGCCAGGCAGGCATGGTAGTACACATTTATAATCCTGTAATCCCAGAAACTGAAGCAGAAGGATCCCTGTGAGACTAGGCTGGGGATTGGTTTTGAATTCAAAACCAATCTGAATTGTGTAGCAAGACCAAGACCATTTCAAACAATAAGTAAAACAAACAAAGCCTCTTAAAACCGACACAGCCCTCACTCTCAGCTGCTGACTTCACAGATCCTACCCAGGCAGTTTGTCCTTGGTTTCCTTGTATTACAGATTACAACTGACCTTGTACACTTCCTCTGTTTTTCCTGCCAGTAAGATAGCAGTGGGGATGGGTGTATTGCAAACCCAGAACTAACACAGCGGGAGGCAGGAGGATCACTTGAGGCCATGAGTTTAAGATCAGCCTGG